GCCTAGTCAGAGGTGGTGCGGGTGCTACCTTTGACGAAGCAGTATGCGCACATCAGACAAACTTAGAGATGTGCAAGCCCATTTAAAAGATACACCCCCAAGGGATTCTGCTTAGTCAGAGGTGGTGCGAGTGCCACCTTGACAAAGCAACATGCGCACCTCGAGAAATTGACGAAGCGTTGTTACTTGTTCATTTACTTCTTCCATTTTATTAAGTGGTTGAGTAAGTCCGATGCATTATTACTTCTTCCATTTTATGAAGTTGTTGAGTAAGTCCGAAGCGTTATTACTTCTTCCATTTTATTAAGTGGCTGAGTAAGTCCGATACAATAATATTTGTGCAACAGAAGCAAAGAGGCAACAACACTTGGACGAATTAAATTTCATTATCAAACTGAAAATGCAGGCCGAAGCCATTACATGAAAAATACAAGACCTAATCTACATTAACAATGGCCCCCGCTCCCACCTCCTCCAGGGGGGCCTCGTCCCCATCTCCAGCTGCCTCTTCGGCTACAGGTTTGCCTCCTGTGGGCCCGCCAAACTCCTCTTCTATATGACCGAGGTCCAACTCCGGGTGCCTCTCGCGCAGGCGAGACATCATCTCCTGGGCAGCCCAAGAAGCCCAGTAGTTGGCGAAGTCATCGTACTCAGGCGTCTTATCAAAATTCGCCTTATAGTCCTCGACTGCCGCTTCCCCAGCTGTCTTCACTTCGGCTCTCAGCGAGTCAATCTCTCCTGCTTGGGCTTCACATAGCGTCCTCAGTTCGGCCTTTTGTTTTTGGCCTCAACTAGAGCGTCTGAAGCGATCCTCTGGTGATCATTGGCCTGGTCTATTCTTTAAAGTCAGGGCCACCACTTGGGAGGTAGACTCGTGAAGCTCGTTCTTCAGCTGGTTAACTTGGACTTCTATCGAATCCAGCTTCATGACAGCGGTTATCCATTTTTCTTCAACTTCCTCAACCCCCTTCTTCGCCTTGGCCACCTCGGCCTCCCATGATTCTGAAGCCTTCAGCTTCTCTTCTAGCCCCTCATTCCTCTTACGGAGGCCTCGGACCAAATCCTCCGCAGCAGCGCCCATACTTAGCGCCCTGGCAACGCAAGCATTGTTCGCGGCCAGCAGATCCTCGATATCACACGAGGTGGCATGTCTTTGCCAGTCCTCGGTCCAGTACTTCCCATGGATCCGTGCGACCGAGGCTATTTCGGGGGGCAACATTTCCAGCACTGCTTCAAAAAGATCCTTGTCTCTGCTTCCTAAGAAATCGGTAGCCTTGCCCCGAGCCGAAGTGGGCACGAGTTTTTTCTGTTTCTTCTTGGCCGGGCACTCGGAGAAATAGGCTGTTATAGGCACTACGGCCTGAGGGAGGGTCGAGGGGGCCGCCACGGTCACCCCAGGCTGAGTAAGCCGAAGCTGGCCCCCTTGCAGGGCCAGCCTTCTTTTTCTTTACGAGGGAGGCTCCTTCCTCTGCCTCGTCTTCCTCAGCAGGCTGAGAAGTCCTGCTGAGGGACAACAAGCATTTTGACTGCTTCTTGTACACAGCCGAACTTGTCTTCAGCATCTTCGCCTCCGCCACACTCCGGCGGATTGTCGCGAAG